GGCGGGGCCGCGAGGCGGAGGGAGCTGTGCGCCGCGCGGCGCTGGGAACCTGCCTTTGCCTCGGCGATTGGATGCCCAGCCGCATGGCTTGGGAATCCTGTTCGCAGGGGCTGCCGCGTGGGGGCGCCCGGCGGGCTTCGTGAGGCTTCGAGAGGTTCGCACCCGGAAGCTGCTGATCGGGACCTGGATTTACCTCACAAAAGGTTTTTAGATTTTTACTGTGCACTGGACGTTTCTCAGGTTTTAAATTTAACCTATTTTGCCATGTCCTGTAGTCAGGAAAGGCCCTTTTTTTTTTCTCTTTAAGCGTAAAAAACCTCCTGTTGGAAAGCCAATGTCTCTTGATTTTTTTAGAGAGATTTGCTCGCCAAAGAGAGACAGAGACAGAAAGCGAGAAATCACCCCCAGGGAGGATGGCCACACTTCAGTCTCTCCTCCATTCTCCTTTCCAGATTTTGGGCACACATGCACACATGCGCAGCGTGAGTTTTAAGACGCTGGGTCCGGGAGTCAAACCGCGGTCCTACACAAGAATCCAGCAATGTAACCATTACACTATCTGCTGGTCCCATAGCAAGAATAGGAAGCACTGAAATAGCACTTATGTGCCCAGCTCCAGTCTAAGCTCCGTACACATACTCATCTCATCTTGCCAACAGCCCAAAGATTATTATTCCCAATCTGTAGACGAAGAAACTGAGGCTCAGAGAAGTTAATTGTACAAGGCTTCACAGAAAAAGTGGGAAGTGGGGATTCAAACCCAGATGGTCTGACTTTGAAGCCTATAGTCTGGCCTAATAGTAATGTGGGTGTATTTCATATTTCATTCTGTTGAAAATGAGGAAAAAACATATCTGGGGAAACAGTGGTACATTTCAGTAAGAGTATTTAAAAGATTCATTAAAGATTTCAGTTTTAGTTGGGTGATTTGAGGAGCGTTCAGGAAATAGAACTTTGCTCTAGATTGGGTGGTGTTAGCAAGCAGTGGTAATGCCAAGACCCAGCTGTGAGTGCCAGGCCAGCTACCAGTTAAGGGCTGCTTTCTTTATAAGAGATTTCTGTATTTCAGCCATCCCCATCCCTGTCCCCATCTCTAAGGGGAAATTTTGAATAGGCTCTAAAGACTCTAATGTAATGTTACACATATATAAAAGTGTGAGGCATAGTGATAAGTTAGGGCAAGAGTTCTTAAATCAGGGGTTAGGTGAACTTGGATAAGGAAAAAAATAACTTCATTTTCACTAACCTCTAACTAGACTTAAACCTCCCATTTGATTATAGTGTAGGTAACAAACCACAGGAGCATTAGCCTTGCTGGTGACTTTATCAAGAGAAAGCAAATATCAGGACCAGCAGGTGGCATGGTGGTTAAGGTGCTGGACACTCCCACATGGCCTACCACTGTTTGAGTCCTAGACCTAGTGACTTGCTCGCTCTCTGTCTCTCTCTCTCTCTCTCTCCCCGTGTGTGTCTCTCTCTGGTAAAATTAAAGTAAATTAATGAATAAATAAAATTAAATAATTAAAAAGAAAGCAGATATTTTCATATGATACTGTATTTATGGCAGATATCTTGAAATATCGTTTATGCTCATTATTACTTTAAAATTACAGTAGTTATTGGATATTTTAATGCATATAATTTAAAAATACTTGGACAGTTTCAATATGGTTAAAGTTTGCTGTGATCATATGTATTTTATAGTATTTTTCTTTGCCATAGGGTGCACTCACCAGAGGGGAGAGAGTGATAAATCACCCCTGAAGGGTGGCCAAACCACAATCTCTTCTCCAGCTTCCTCTCAGGATTTTGGGCATGCACACACATGCAACCAGAATGATTTTCACGCAACCAGGTCTGAGACTCAAGCCATGAGGTCAGCCACAGGGGATCCAGCACTTTAACCTCCACACCACCTGGTGGCCCTATATTATGCAGTTTTTAAAGCTTATTTATTTACTGGGACCAGCAATTGACATAATGGCTATGTCGCTGGACTCCCATGTGGTCGACCGCAGTTCAAGTCCTGGACCTAGTGGCTTAAACTCACGCCGGGCGCATGTGCCTGAATGTCCAAGATCCCAAGAGGAGAATGGAGGAGAAGGGATTGGCGCGTGGCCATTCCCCCACTGGAGGTTGGGGGGTGATTTCTCACTTTCTGTCTCTCTATCTTTCTGGGGAGCACACTTGCCCTATAGCAAAAACCTCTCCAAAAATAAAAAACTTATTTATTTACTTATCCCATGACTGAGAGAAAGAGACAGGCCTCCTCAAAAGATTCTTCACACCACTATCCATCCCCATCCTCAGCCAGCCAACATCATGGGCTTGCACAGGGAGACCTTAGAGGATACAAATCCAGTGTCTCCCCAGGTGGCTTCAGCATCACTGAGCGTTGTGTTACAGCTGTATCACCACAGCTGGCTTATAGTATGCATTTTAAAAGCATAATTTTTGGGACCAGCAGATGGCATAGCAGTTACATCACTGGACTCCCACATGGCTAAATGCAGTTTGAGTTCCAGATCCAGTGGCTTGAAAATCATGCTGGGCGTGTGCATGTGTTCCCAAGATCCTGGGAAAAGAATGGAAGTTAAGGGATTGCAGTGTGGCCATCCCCCCTGGGGGGGGGGGTGATTTCTCACTTTCCTTCTCACTGTGTCTGCCTCTGTGTGTGCCCTAAGACAAAAACCTCTAGAAAGGTTAAAAAAAAAAAAAGCCATAATTCTTAGAGGGAATTTGTCCACAGGAGTTCATGGCATCAGAATAAAAAATAAGGGGCCCTTGGTTTAGTTGAAGAACTTAATTAGTGACTAAAAAATTGGGAGCTGCATTCAAATTGGAGTAATACTGCAGAGAACAGAGATGGGATCAGATAGTTTAGTACATACCCTCTCACTTTACCAAGAGGGGAACCAAACGGCTGAGAGCTTGAGTGAGTTTTCCGAAGTCCGACAGCTATTTGATGATAAAACCAGGATGAAAAAGTTTCAAACCTATCAAAACCCTCCACTTAGGTAGGCACTGGGCATTCCGTAGTTTGCAAGATGCCCTCTGCATCAACAAGCTTGTTGGGGTGAAAGTTGGTGAGTGAATGGGAGAGAAATCCTATGAATGGGAATAATGTAGAAAGACATTCTCTCAGTAGTAGTTCCTGACTACATCAGAGAACCTACACAAGAAAGAAACCCTATAAATGTGGGAAATGTAGTAAAATGTTCTGCAAGAATTCACAGCTTAACTGTGCATCAGAGAACCTACAGAACAGAAATTTTATGAATGCAAAAAATGAAGGAATTCTACCAGAATTCAGAACTCACTGTTCATAGGAGAAAATCCTTAGTAATATAAACAGTGTTGTGAATCTTTGAACCATAACTCAGAAATATAAGTTGATCCCTGAAGGAAACAACATTTTAAGAATTCAGCTGCTTTGATTCAGCAAGCCACCGTAGTTTAAGGATATTAGAAGAATGTGGAATGGTATAGTAGGTTGATACATAAGATCTAAGAGTTTTCCAGTTACAGAAGCAAAGTGTCAGGTTATTTCTAAGACCCATGTGTAGCATTTTTAAAGATGAAGTAAATGATAACCGTTGATTTGGGTAAAAATAAAAATAAAGACTGAAGAAAAAAGAGTTGGTGAGTGATAAGATTGAATTATTGCTCTAAACGTGTAACTCCAGCTGTAGTGTAGAGGATGAATAGAAGAGGAAGAGCCTGGAGACAGACCAGTTAGAAGGCTATAAATAGATCTGCTTGTCTTTCCCATATACCACAAAATATATTTGGTACATGAAGAATGTAAATTGTAAGCAACATTAAGAGATCTATGAGGCCTGCCTTTTTAAAGGGCTCTGGAATTAGTGTAATAGTCATATGACATTAATACAAGCAGTGTAATAATATAGATTATCGGTGCTGGCAGGTGGTGTGGTAGTTAAGGGCACTAGGCTCCCACATGGCCTACCACAGTTCAAGTTCTGGAATGTGGTATGCTTTCTCACTTTCCCTCTCTCTCTCTCACTTTCTCTCTCTGTTCCTCTCTGGTCAAATTAAAACAAATAAATAAATAACATAACATAATAATTTAAAAAATAATAATAATATAGATTATGACCTCAATGGCTTAATTTATGTACTTTCAGATTTCTTCATTGTACAGAAAATAAAACCTTCCTTAACTGCTGAAAGCAGACCCGAACTTCCAGATCAGATTGATTCTAGTGTTCCAAAGTCAGAGGATCGACCCTTAGGAACTGATATTCTAAAACTGATTGGTATTGGCCTTCCAAAATCAGATAATCGACGATCAAGAATTCGCATGCTAAATCACACTGTTACTGGTGGTCTAAAATCAGATCATCGACAACCTGGAGCTGGTGCTCTAAGTCAGACAAGTGCTGGTGGTCCAAAATCAGATCATCAACAACTGGGAGCTGGTGGCCCAAATCAGACTGGTACTGGTACTCTAAAATTAGGTAGTCGACAGCCAGAAACTGGTGTTCCAACTCAGATTGGTGCTGATATTCCAAAATCAGATAATCAGCAATCCAGAGATGGTGTTGCAAATCAAAGTGGTACTGGTATTCTAAAATTGGGTAATCGGCAATCAGGAGCTGGTGGTTCAAGTCATACTGGCACTGGTATTCTAAAATCAGATCATCGACCATCTAGAACTGGTGGTCCAAAATCAGATCATCGACGATCAAAAAAAGGTCACAGAGTCCGTTTTGCAAGTATTGTGAAGGCGAAGACAGTACAACTGTAAGTACCCATCTTGTGCCTTGTGTTTTTTTTCCACAATTAGTTTCAAAATGGTTTTTACTCAGATAACTTAAAGCACTTTTTGTTTTGCAAATTAGAAGTTTTTGTGTTTTAAAATTACTTTCAAATTGAGTAATTATTATAATCGGCATAGTTTATAAGTTACAAACCATGTTAATGCACATCATTTGATACCAGCACAACTTTGTGGAACAGTTTTATTATTACACTTTATAAATGAGAAAGCAGCAAGTGGGAAAAGGTAAGTGGCTTGCAAAAGGTGAAACAGCTAATAAATGCACCAGCTAGGATTCAAAGATTTCTTTAAAAAATAAAAAAGAATTATTTATTTATTTTCATGATTTTTCAATTTTGACCAGAGAGAGACAGAGAGAGAGAGCAAGCTGCCAGGTCCAGGACTCGAACCACGGACCACGGTCAGCCATGTGGGAGTCCAGCACCTTTCACCATGCCACCTGCCGGCCGTCTAAGGCTTCTTTCTATACTTTAGGCCTTTTCTTCTCTACATCTCATATAGTCTGCCTTTTGCCAACCAACAGTGACATTATGCAGGAATACCTCTATTTGCGTGTGGGTAATGATGGGGCAAGAATGGGTCCGAGAGGGAGATCCATTGCGATCGATCTGTCTCTGCTGAGACATGATCAAAAGCAGAATTCTCTGACCTGACCAGGATGAGCCTGGTTCAGGCAAATACCAGAAAAGAAAGTTTCTTTTTCTGCTGCATAGTCATCTGCCCCCAGAAGAGAACTGGGCCTCTTGTAACTTCAACTATTGCACATTCCATTTTCATAACACTTGAACTAGTTGGACAGCATGTTTCAGAACTAACTGTGGCTGAATCGTTTTAGGTCATAGATGTTTTTAGAGAGCAAGCTTGTCTCCTTACACTTTTTATTTATAATATATATGCCTCCTAATGATCAATTTATAATATATATGCCTTTTGAGATAAAATTTTAGCCAGGACTTGCTTTTTTTTTTTCTTTTTTTCTTTTTTTTTGTTTTGTTTTAATCTCAAGGGAAATATTCTCAAGCATTTCATATCCTCATTCTGACTAGATTCTGCAAATGACCAGTTCCAATTACCACATCCAAATCCAAATGTTCCTCATTAGGTCAGTCTTAGAGCGGGAGATGGGGAGGTGCAGGAAGAGGAAGTATAAATTGAGAGTTCTCCAAGATTCTAGGAAAATGAAACCTTCATAAATATTAACCTCTTCTTTTCCCTCAGAATTAGTAAAGAAGCTGCAGCTCACACAATACAGAGAGCTTGGTTATCATACATGAACAGAACGATATTTCAACTCCTAAAACACACAATTTGTGCAGCGGTATGTATTTTGTTTTCTCTGACAGATTTAATTACTTATCAAGATCAAAGATCTGTTAATTAAAAACAGAATAAATAGCTCTTCTATCTGGAGCTAATAATATTGTATAAAGTTCTAGTATTGCTTCTTTCATTAACCCTAATTAAATATTTCTGGATTTATTTATTTGTTAATTATTTAGTTTGTTATAGGGTGTATATGCACACTGGAGAGAGACAGAGTGACATGGAGAAAACGTGAGAAAGCACCCCTGAGGGAGGACGACCATGCTGCAATCCCATCTCCTCCAGTCTCCTCTCAGGATTTTGAGCACACACACACACATGCACCTGGCATGATTTTCAAGCTGCCTGGTCTCAGACTTAAACCACACAACCAGCCATGTGGGATCCAGCCGCTTTAACCACCACACCACCTGGCTGACCCTGGATTTATTTTTCATGTGGATGACTGCTCTTTCTTTTTTTTGGAATGAATATATTGTTGTTTTTTGTTTTGTTCTTAATCTGATTCCTTATCTGAAGATGTGAAATCATGATCTTCTAGCAATAAAAATCTCTGAATTAAAAGAGCCTTACCTTCCACCCAGCAGTTTCACTTCCAGAAGTCCATTCTGTAATATATGCACAATTTCATCGTAGCATTGTTTGTGACAATGAAGTAAACCATATAATGTTCATTGATAGAGTGCTGGTTAATAGACCTTGTGGCTTTCATATTGTTAAACCTTGCAGCTTTAACATGATTCTGTAATAGAATGATAACCAAGATAGCTCATTAGTAAAAACGGTAAGTGCAGAACAGTATAAAGAATTGATTATTTGAGGGGCTGGCAGGTAGCATGGTGGTTAAGGCACTGGATTTCTCACATGGCCCAACACAGTTCAAGTCAAGTCCTGGACCTGGTAGCTTCTTTTCTCACTCTCCTCTTCTCTCTCTCTGTCTTTCTCTAGAAAAACTCATGTGAAAAAAAATAATAATAAGTAAAATAATTCTTAATAAAAAAGGAATTTAATTTATTTGAGTAAAAAACAAACAAACAAACAAACAAAAAACAGGGACCAGCAGTTGACGTAATGGCTATGTTGCTGGACTCCCATGTAGTTAACCACAGTTCAAGTCCCAGAGCCAGTGGCTTAAACTCACGCTGGGCACGTGCATGTCAAGATTCCGAGAGGAGAATGGAGGAGAAGAGATTGCGGCATGGCCATCCCCCCAGGAGGTGAATTCTCGCTTTCTGTCTTTCTGGCGAGCACACGCGCCCTATAGCAAAAACTTCTCAAAAAAAAAGAAAAAGAGAAAGGATATACACCTGCCCAAGAAACAAAAAGCAAAACAAAACAAAAACAATTCTGGCAACCCCAGCAGAGTATTAAGCCTTCCTTGGTATAGTACCAATTATTCTCCTAATAAAATAACCCACAATTCCAATATTTTTTGTTTTGCTTTGTTTTGTTTTTTATTTTTGCTATAGGGTACATGTGCTTACCAGAGAGAGAGAGAGAGAGAGAGACATCACTCCCAGAGGGGATAGCCACACCATCATCCCTTCTCCATTCTCTTCTCAGGACCTTGGGCATGCATATACACATGCCCAGTGTGATTTTCAAGCTGCAGGTTCTGGGACTCGAACCATATGGTTGGCCATGTGAGATCCAACCATCTTAACCTCCACACTCAGTAGTTTGTTATTAGTAATAGGTTAAGGCGCTGGACACTCCCACAGGGTCAACCAGGGTTCAAGTCCTGAATCTGGTGGCTTGCTTTCTCACTTCTTCTCTCTCTCACTCTTACCCTCTGTCTCTATCTGGTCAAATTAAAAAAATAAATGAATGAATAAATAAAATAAAATAAATTGTAAAAAAAAGTTTATGTAAAATGAAATTAAAATACAAATTTATTTGTTGCAAATTATTTGAAATCTATGCATAAGTTTTTTTTTTAATTTTCACATATGTTCACTCGAGAGAGACTGAAACAGAGAGAAAAAGTGAGAAAGTACCCCCCCCATGGGGCATGGTCATATCGTAGGCCCCTCTCCATTTCTCCTTCTCTTTGGGATTTTGGGTATGTACACACATTTGCCTGGTGTTTCTCAAGCTGCCAGGTCTGTGACTTGAACCATGCTGTTGGCCATGTACGATCCAGTCACCTTAACCACCATGCTGCAGACTGGCCCAGTTTTTTCATAATGCTAATTTTCTATGAAGACCCCTCATAGTGATAAAGAAGAAAGACACTGCCCATACCTTTGTGAAGCTTATAGTCTAGTAGGAGACACAAATAAGTTTATAGGTGAATATCGTACATTATGAAAAATGTTGTCACAGGGAAAGGACAGTGCTTGTGATCTCAAGAAGAGACAAATAGGGACCAGCAGTTAGCATAATGGCTATGTTGCTGGACTCCCACGTAGTCTACTGCAGTTCGCGTCCCGGACCCGGTGGCTTAAAACTCACGCCGGGCGCGTGTGCGTGCGTCTCTCTGTCTGTCTGTCTCTGTCTGGCGAACCCACGCACCCTATAGCGAAAAACCTCTCAAAAAAAAAAAAAAGACAAATAACCAAAGTTGGAGGCCAGAAAGATTAAGTAACTGACTCAAGGCTACACAGATAAATAGGAGAGTCAAGATAAGAATGTACTTCTTCAGAACTCCAAGTCCAGCATGTACTGTTTGCTTTACCATGCTGTGTCTGTTATAGTCAGTAATTTATTTCTGGGCAGGATACCACTTTCTGTTTACAGCACCATTATCTATTCCAGGAATACTACGTGACACATGAAATACTGAAGAAAGTGAGCCCCATAGAGGCTAAGCTTATTAAAGATCCTAGCATGAAGTGTAAAGTCAGATTCAGGTAATATGTCTATGCTGATTCCCTTCTTTCCTTTCATCCTTGCTTTCTTCCTTCTTTCCTCCCTCCCTTCCTTTCTGCCGGAAGGCATGTATGTTAGCGTGAGAGAAGAGAGAGATGAGTACCCAAGAACTGCCTGGCAAGGGCCTGGCCATGCCGTTAACATTTTTCTTCCAATTCTCCATCCCATCAGGATCCTGGGTCCTTGCACCTAGCACGTCTGTGAAGCTGACAGGGCTAGGACTCAAACCCTGGTTGGCCACGTGGGATCCACTCCTCTACGTAGCCTTAACCACTAGGTTAAGCAGTATGCTACTTTATTTCAAGAAATACTTAGTTAATATGAAGAAACTTTAAAATTTTACTTTGTTTTAAATCCTTATAACTCCTCAGGATATAATTTCAAAGCAAATGTGATGTTCTTATTTGTATCTGTTCTGTGAAGAAACTAAGGCATCACTCTTTGACTAAAAGCTGCCATGAGGGTAGCTCTCATCTCCCATTCTGTGTCCAGTCAGACATGGATGTGAGAATAGTTGTGAGCACACTGAAGTCTGGGGTCTTTCCTCCTCTGCAATCCATTTCATAAGCTCTTGGCATAGCCTTTACCCTGTATGCAAGAAACTATATGAACTATCTAAAGTACATGGGGTGAGGGGGAGGAGTAAACCCAAAACCTGATGCTCAGTGACTCAATTTTAATCTTTATTTCAGATTTAGTGGTGAAACATTTCCACCTTTCATCGTGTTCAAAATCTTTCTTCATAATGATGGCCGTGGTTACAAGTATTTTAGTGGAAAAAACTTATTAAAGCCATCAACTGAGGTAATATTTCATGATGTACATTTTACGTTAAATTAGCTTTTGAACATAGTATCTGAATTGCATTCAAAGTAGACAGACAGAGTTATTTTACCATTAAGCAGCCCAATAGGCAGGTAATGTTCAGGTTTTATTATTTTTATTTTTAGTTCTTATTTATGTATTTATTTTTTAATTTTTGCTATTTGCTATAGGGCACACACACTTGCCAGAAGAGATAGAAATAGAGAGAGGGAAAGTGAGAAACCATGCCCAGGGGGAGATAGCCACTCTGTAAGTCCCTTCTCCTCCATTCTCCTCTCAGGATTTTGGGTGCATGTGTGTGCATGTGCATTCATAGTCATTTTCAAGACACTGGGTCTAGGACTCCAACTGCACAGTCAGCCATGTGGGATCCAGCAATTTAACCTCCACACAATCTTCTGGCCCTCTTTTAATTGCCAAAGGATGCATGTATTTGCCAGAGAGAGAGGGAGAGGGAAAAAGCACCCTCTAATGTAACATGGTCATACCACAATCCCTTCTCCTCCGTGTCTTTATCTTATTGAGATGTTGGGTATGCACACCCAGTGTGCTTTTTAAGCTATAGGGGCCAGGATTCAAACTGCAGCCATGTGGGATCTGGCTTCCTTAACTAGTAGAATATAGGGCCAACCCTGAGTAGTATGCTTTTTTTCTTTCCTTCTTTATAAGCACTGTATTTCATGTTTCTATTAATTAGCTTAAAAACATTTGGAATAAGCTACTTGTATTCAGCTCTACAAAATACCATCTATTTTCTCTGTACTGAAATTTTGGTTTGTTACTAATGGACTACAGCAGCCTATTGGTCAGGGCTTTTAAATCAAGCAGAATGTTTGATGCAATATTATCTATTTTGGGGCCGGCAGTTAATGCGGTGATTAGAGGCACTGGATTCTCACATGGCCTACTGCGGTTTGAGTTCGGGACCTGGTGACTTGCTTTCTTTTTCTTGCTTTCCCTTTCTCTCTCTCTCTCTCTCTCTCTCTCTCTCTCTTTTTCTCTCTCTCTCCCTGATCAAATTAAAAATGATAATAACAAATATAATTAAATAAATAAATGAATGTCTTTTTTTTTCTTTGGAGAGGTTTTCGCTATAGGGTGCGTGCGCTCGCCAGACAGACAGAGAGAGACATAGAGACAGAAAGCAAGAAATCACCCCCCAGGGGGGATGGTCACACTGCAATCCCTTCTCCTCCGTTCTCCTCTCGGGATCTTGGGCACGCACGCACACGTGCCCGGCATGAGTTTTAAGCCACTGGGTCCAGGACGTGAACCACGGTCGACTACATGGGAGTCCAGCGACATAGCCATCACGCTAACTGCTGGTTCCCAATAAATGTCTTTTTAAAAAGGAAAAAATATCTATTTCAAAATATGCTAGTTTATTCTGGTAGCATATTTAGAAAAAAATATGAATAGTTCAATAGCTGAACTATGCTATTGAAAACAAACTTTTAAAATGTTTATCTTTGGGACCAGTAGGTGGCATAATGGTTACCTCACTGGACTCCCAAATAGTTGACAGTGGTTCAAATCTCGGATCCAGCAGCTTAAAACTTACACCAGGTGCATGCCCAAAATCTCTAGAGGAAAATGGAGAAGGAATTACAGTGTGGTCATCCCCTCAGGGAGGGAGAGGGGGGTTTGTGATATCTCACTTTCTGTCTTTCTGTCTCTCTCTGTCTCTCTGGCAAGTGCACACACCCTATGGCAAAAATCTCTCTAAAAAAGTTTTTTTTTTAAGTTTATCTCTTTTTTATAAGATGAGGTCTTATCATACTGAGGAGTTTCATGAATATTCACCATTATTATGTCTATAGCATAGGAATCACCTGTGCATCTTGGTAAACTGCTGTTACTGCTGCTGATTCATGAACTACACTTTTTAAATTTTTTTAAATACTGCACATGCTCTTACCAGAGAGAGAGAAAGAGAAAGAGGGAGAAGGAGAAAGCACACCCCATGGGGCATGGTCATACCGCAAACCCTTTTTCTGCACTTCTCCATCCTGTGGGATTTGGGGTACAAATGCACATGGCACCTGCTGGCATGTTTCTCAAGTTGCCAGTCCAGGACTCAAATCGCAAGATTGGCCATGTAGTCTCCAGCTCCCTTAACTACCAGGTCACAGGCTGGCCTGCTATGAACCACACTTTTCTTTTTTTTTTAATTTTCCGAGTGGCAAATTGCAGTAGAAAGACGAAGGAAGAGGGAAAGTGAGAAAGCACTCCCTATGGGGGATAGCCATGCCATGCTATAATCCCTTCTCCATTTCTCTCTTCAGGATTTTGGGCTTGCACATATGCCCACCTGGTCTGTCTTTCAAGCTGCTGGGTCCAGGACTAGAACCACACAGTCAGCCATGTGGGATCCACCTGCTTTAACCACCTTGCCACCAGCTGGCTCAAATCACACTTTTTGTGAATTTTTTTTTTTACTAACAAATGACCAGCATCTTACATAACAGCAAGTACTTCATATTTAATTAACAAAGGAATTCCAAGTGTTCAGTAATAGCATTACTAACCTTTAAAGTCTGCCTATTCATCAAACTGAAGACAGGAACCAAAACTGTATAAGTTGAAACTGTGACCAATTTTTTTTCTTTTTCTTATGTTTTTATATTTAATCATTGTACATCTTTACTGCATACAAAATGAACTTTCCCAGCATGAATGCACTGCATATTATTCTAGTTAAAGGTATTTCTATAGACCTTATCACCAACAGATAATTTTTCATTTTTATGTATATTAAATGTTATGCTTTTTTTCCCCTTGATTCCCTCTCTTCCACCCCCTTCAAACCACACTTTTAATAGCAAGAACTGATGGCAGAGGTTTTATTCCTTTGACCATTACATTTGACTATAATTGAGTTTAAAAGGTGGACAGTCTCATATGTATTACTCTTTTATAAAATGTACATCAATGGGGCCATCAGGTGGCATAAGGGTTAATGAGGCTGGACTCCCACATAGTTGACCATGTTTCGAGTCCTGGACCTGGCAGCTTGCTTTCTCACTTTCCTTTTCTCTCGCTTTCTCTCCCTGTTCAATTAAATAAAAATTCTTAAAAATAAAAATAAAATGTACATTATTGTAAGATCCCCTTTCTGGAAATATTTTACACATAGTATGGCCCATCTTAGATCATGAGTTCTAGCATGAATTCAGCAGAGACCAAACAGCTTGGCAGTTTCTGATCAGATCTAGCACATGCAGCATTGCCTCTCTGAGAGTGTGAGGAAGTTCGGAAAGGTGGTATTTTTCTCTGTTCTCAGGAAGTAGCAGAGAAAACTTAACTCCAGTTCAGAAATGTGTCAAATGGACTACATACCTTCATTATGGAATATGGTGTCTCAAAGCCACTAATGTTTGTTCATTTATATAGATTGACTTCAAATGTGAAAGTGTACATTTATCCTACATTTGAGAGAGAAATTCAGGCCACATTGATCTCCTGAATAAGCTTCCAGTTGTCCCTCTAAAATGGCATAGGTTCCTTCTTTTCTGAGGTTATGTAATGGGACTTTTCCAGGAACTGGGATTCTCCTGGGTCTGCTCCTGCTGTCTCCTGTAGTGCCCAGGTTGAGCAGATGAGAACCTTAGAGGTGGTGACTGGAAATCACTATGTGTATGTTAAAACTCATTAGAAGGCTGCATAGTAACTTAACATTTTGTTCAAATTACAAAATAACTATTGGGAAAAATAGAAGTAACCCAGAGACATAAAAACACAATATGCATAAAGCATTTATTTTCTGTGCCCTAATTTTCACTCTCCTGGGATCATCACCGTTAATACTTTGCTTATCCTACTTTGTGTATCCTTCATTTTTCACTATGAAAACAGTCACACAAAGCATTTTTAATTTTTATTGGTTCTTCTTATAAAGACACGATCATACTACTTAGCTTGAGTTTTTCACTAAAAGTTATCATGGATTTATACTTGGATTCATGGTTTGTAGAAAACTTGCCAAAGTGGAATTTTTCTCACTGTGAGCTCAGTCATTTCTTTACTCTTTGAACATAGGTATTGTCTCTTTAGCAAAATGATACCTCTTTTCTGTGTTTATTTATTTCTTTTTAATTTCCTACTGGGCACATGTGCTTGCCAGAGAGACACAAAGAGGAGAGAAGGAAAAGTGAGAAAGCACCTTTCCAGGAGGGATGGCCATGCTACAGTCCCTTCTCCTCCATTCTCCTCTTGAGATTTTGGGCATGCACACACATGCACCTGGCATGTTTTCTCAGCTACCAAGTCTGGGACTCGAACCATGAAGTCAGCCATGTAGAATCCAATTACCTTAACCATCACGCCTCCAGATGGCCCCTTATTTCTTTTTAAATTTATATTCTCCATTATTTTATTATGAAAATTTTCTAACACATAGAAAATATTTGAAAAAATTATAATGGACCCCCATATATCTAGTACTTAGATCCTACCAATAACATTTTACTGTATTTGCTTTGTCTCACATCTACCTATTACACCTATTCATCCATCAGCCTAACTAATCTTTGGCTATATTGGGTTGTTGGAAAAGTAACAACATATTTTTTCTGTACAAAAATGTCATGACTTTTCCAACAACCCGATATTTCAAAGTAAATTGCAGATATTGGTATACTGTTCCCTATTATTTCTGCGTGTATCTTTAACCAGTGTTCAATGTTTATTTTTCCTTTGAGGTAAACTTTACATACAAATGAAACCTACAGATTTTACTAAGTTTGACAAGTGCATAGACCTGTGTCACTCAAACCCCTCCCCAGCATAACAGTTATTTTTTTCACATGGCCCGGCCCCTAAAGCAAATGTGTGTGAGAGGCAGAAAGAGGGAGAAAATAGAAACCAGGTAGACTGTATCATCTGTGCTAATTGAAAAAAAACCTTATTTATTTTAATGTATTATTATCATTATTAAATTTGACCAGAGAGAGAGAGAAGGAAAGTGAGAAAGCAAGCCACTAGGTATGGAACTTGAACCGTGATCAACCATGTGGGAGTCTAGCACCTTTCACCACTGTTCTACCTGCTGGCCCCAGAAAAAAACTGTATTTGTTAATATGAAAGAAATGAGTTCATTTTAGTCCATTCAGGTATTTAGTCTTAGTTAAGTTATAAAAGAGAATTTCAGATTTTATTGTTATTTCATCTTTTTCCTCCCTATATCCATTTCTACTTTCATTTCCTTAACATTTTCCAACTGTATTTCTCATGTATTTACAAAACAAAACAAAAAGCAAAAACAACTGAAAGGATATAGAATAGTCTGGACAGCTTTGGTGGAGAAGAACAATGAGGATTTAAACTACCTGGTTTCCAAACGTAAAAAGCTGTAATGATCACCACATGGTAGCAAAGGCATCAAAGTAGACGTTTATATCAATGAGCGAAAATAAGAGAATTCAGAAACAGACATTTAGGTAAGTGATCAATTGATTTTCATCAAAAGTGCCAAGGCAGGGCTAGCCCCTTGGTGCAGTGATAATGGACTGCTCAAGAGAGGCAGGATCCTAGGCCAGCAGGTGGCATAGAGGTTAAGGTGACTGGATCTGACATGGCTGACTGGGTGGTTTGAGTCTTAAACCCTGCAGCTTGTGAAACTTGCCAGGTACATGTGCGTGCATGTTCAAAATCCTGAAAGGAGAATGGATTGTGACATGGCCATCCCCACTGGGGATTAATTTCTCACTTTCCCTCTCTTTCTTCTCTCTGTCTGTCTTTCTCTGGCAAGTGTAAGTACTCTACACTAAAAGAGAGAGAGAGAAAGAGAGAGAGAGAGACTGGATCCCATATAGTGACCACAGTTTGAATACCCAGCCTGGTCACCTGAAACATGCTGAGCAAGCACGTGAGTGCCCAGGATCCAGTGAGCTGAAGGACTGGAGGAAGGGGATTAGAACATGACCAACCCTATGGGGGGTGCTCTTCTCTCACATCCAGGGCAAAACACATACTCTATCATGAATAAAGAAGAAAGTTGTTTATAAAAAAAAAGAAGAAGAAGAAGAAAAAAGAAAGAAGGCACCAGCAGTTGGTGTAATGGCTATGTCACTGGACTCCCATGTAGTTGACTGCGGTTCAAGTCCCGGACCCAGTGGCTTGAACTCACACCAGGCACGTGTGCATGTGTGCTCAGATCCCAAGAGGAGATAGGAGGAGAAGAGATTGCGCTATGGCCATCCCCCCAGGGGGTGATTTCTTGCTTTCTGTCTCTCTGTCTCTCTCTGTCTTTCTGGCAAGTGCACACGCTCTGTAGCAAATACCTCTCAAAAAAAAAAAGAATTCTGTATATAATTTTATTTATCATTATTACAATTTTTTTATTGATCATTTGTTACAGAGCACGTGCACTCACCAAAGAGAGATGAGAAAGAGAAAATGAGACAGCAAGCCACGAGGTGCGAGATTCAAATTGCTGAGAATCCAGCACCTTAACCACCATACCACCTGCTGGTTCCTATTAAGCACGTTTATCAAGTGTGATTCTAAACATTTCCTGTGCATTATTTTTTATCTTATTCTCATAAACACTATTGCATATGTTCTGTTATTATCCTTATTTTTAAAAGGTTGACTTGCCTAAGGTCTCAAACTAGAGAATGAAGGAACTGAGACCTAGTGGGCCTGACCCCAAAGCCCATGCTCTTTGCCATTCTGGAGAGTTAGGCTCTGTGCTAAACCCCAGTGCACACATTCTCCTCTACAGCCCTCTAGTTGTGTGGGGGATCATTCCTGTGATTCCCCTTTGTCTATGAGGAAACTGGAACTTGGAGAGATTGATCAGGGCATACTGAGACTTGAACACTTCTCCAGTCTCCGCTACACTGGGTACATTTTGAGACTGAAACAACCCCAGCAGTTCTGGTGGTTTTATTTATTCATGAACCTGTTGGAGGAGTCTTCAAAAAGTTTGTGGGAAAACGAAATTAAAGCATAAGTTTATTTTGGTGCAAAATCTTTTTGAAATCCAGGCATTTTTTTTTCACAGTACACATTTCTGTGAACTTGTTGAAGACCCGACTTCCCTCCTTGTGTATAATTGAATTTTTCCAAACTGAGAAATCATTGAAGACCCAATCCCTCCACACTCTTGTATATAATTGAACTGTTCCAAACTGAGAAACTGTTCCAGTACAGGGGTACCAGTTATTATCACCTTTATGAGTGAGAATTTCCAGCAGGGACAGGGAAGTGACTTGAGATATTAGAGCCCAAGGGTGGATCTAGGCCAGCAAGCAGCCACAGGGTTGGGGGGCTTCCAGGCCACAGTGATGCTGACTACCTGAGGAAGTGGCAGACTATGTGATGCCCCTCTTTGGCCTTTGTCACCCACTAAAAAGAGAACCTGCCTCTTGAATCCTGCTATCTTGGAATCCTCACCTAGTTTTTGCCTGCCCTTTTCTCATGAAGCTGGGCTTTCTTTACCATTGCTTCCTATCAAGAAGGACTTTCCTGAGGCCAGCCACACACAGCCAATGTCTAAGAAAGAACATCTTGGCCACTGGATGGCAAACTCTTCAAACCCCTCTCACAGGTGGGCAGAGAGTCTGCCCTGTGCTGGGCATGTTTTGTGTTTTTGTTTCTTTGGGTATTTTTATTTTTTTGTTTTTGTTTTTTTGTTTGTTTGTTTGTTTGTTTTGGCCAAGGAACTGGAATGGACCAGGCACAGCTGAACCATACCACGTGGCTGAGGCCCTGTGCAAATAAGGAAACGGGCTTGAGGAGACTGCTGGTGGTGGCTGAGTGGGACAGTGTAAGGGGACCAAACAATCAATGCCTTTTCTAAGTAATTTGACCTAAAGAAAAATAATGATGCCTAACAAAATTCTTAAAGCACAAATTAGGGAGTTTTCATACCTATTCAGTATATAATTTTTTGTTTTTCCCTTGAGTGTCACTGTGGGGGTGACTAATTAGAACCTACAGGAAATGAATAGCAAGAAAGCATAATGGATTTGTCAATACTCTCTTTTCTTTAGATGCATAATGCATAAAGAAATTAATGAAATGGAAAGCAAAAATGATCTACCTACAGGAAGGCTTCATATCACATTTTCAGTAAACTGTTTCTGTCCCTTCGATTTAGTGGTTTAGAAATAGAACTACATCATTTGAATATTTTCTTCCTTTTTCATTTTCCATGTTTGTAATCTTTCAAGGTTTGGAATTTAAACATTCTGGATAACAAAAATGAGAAACGGAATAGAAAATGCAGTTAGACTTGCTGTTGTACTGTGCATTAAATTAAAAAAAATATATTCTGAGTTCCATCCTATCTCATCCTCCCTTCTACAACCTCATATGATTGTTATAACAGAATTCCCATACTTTCACAGATGCCATGTTCTGAGATATGAAGGAAAAGAAAAACTAATCCGGAATCAAAAGATATTTGAATTTTCCTCTACAGCAACTTCCCTTCACATCAGCATACATTTTTGACCAGAAACACATATCTGTGATATAAATATATGTTAGAAGAGTCAGCACATACTTACAGGGAACGGGGCATAGTTAAGTCTCTACTCATGGTCTATGTATAGCTCTTTGCTCAAGGATAGGTATATGTGGAAGGTAAACAGGGCCAGAAAGGATTTGAACCTCGGTGTTTTCTGTGATTCTTCTATCACTGACTCACTGGTGCCTTCCTTGATTACAAAATGTTGACATTTGGGAGAAAAATAAACTTTATTGCTACTCTTTGGCTACTGAAGATGAAGTCTGAAGGGCAAGGCCTATGCAATCTGAAATATATGCATTTCCACTTCGGGGTGATGTGTTAACAAACACATCAAAGAGAGTTGGTGGGGATGGCAGCTGGCGTGGTGGTTAAGGAGCTTGCTGGACTCCCACATGGCTGACCGTGGTTTGAGTCTTGAACCTGGTGGCTTGCTTTCACACTTTTCCTTTCTCTTTCTGGTCTGATTTAAAATAATAATAATAAGAAGAAGAAATAAAATTAATGAAGTAATTCTTTAAAAGAGAGAGAGAGAGAGCAACTTGGTCGAGTAACAACTTTCATTGCAGTTACTAGGGCAAGCTGTTTAATCACCAGGTAAGTTTTCTCTGCATTGACAGGACAAACAAGGTTGTAGGTTTTTGTTTTATTTTTAAAGTAAAAGAAGGTTTTTAAAGGAAAAAAATAGATTAAAAAAATGCTATGGATTTCTGAGGATTGTGAAGTCAACTACTCCTCAAACTACATTTTAAATAGATGTGAGTATAGAAAAAAAATTTTTTTTAAATTTTGCTACAAGGTGCATATGATGGCCAGAGAGAGACTGACAGAGGAGGTGCAGAGAGACAGGGAAAGTGAGAAACCACCCCTCAAGGGAATGGTCATTCCACAGTCCTTTCTCCTTCATTCTCCTCTCAGGATCTTGGGCACACACGTACATGTGCCTAGTGTGTTTTCCAAGCTACCAAATCTAAACCATGTACTCAGCCATGTGGCATCCAGCCACCTTAACCACTACATCACTGACTGGCCCAGAAACAAATTTTAAGTGGGTCTAAAAAACTAGGGCCAGCAAATGGCATAGTGGTTATGTCACTGGACTCTCGCATGTCCAACTGTGGTTTGAGTTGCAGACCCAATGCCTTGAAACTTACACTGAGCACGTGTGCGTGCGTACCCAAGATTCCAGTAGGAAAATGGAAGAGAAGGGATAGTGGTGTGGCCATCCCCGCTGAGGGCGATTTCTAACTTTACCTCTCACTGTCTCTTTTTTCTCTCTCTCTCCAGTGAACACACATGTCCTATGGCAGAAACCTATTTAAAAAATCCCTATTTAATCTTCTCTTTGTAAATGTTACCTTTCTGCTGAATAGCAAGCTGCTGAATAAAAGAAACAATATTTGATGTGTTTGTCAGGAAAAAAATACATAAAGTATGTGCTGATATTTAATGCTATTATACTATGTGGAAAGTCTGTTTCCTATTCTTTTTAGGGAGTGGTTGATGCTTATAAATTAATGGGAAAAAGGAAATTTTACAATCAAATTATGGAAGATGAACGCCTTTACCAAAAGTACAAAATAACTGAAGAAGTAGATGTCGTCACTATGAAAGATTACATGCAAGTAAGGAATTCACATTTAGATGTTGAAAACAAGTAAGCGAAAAGTCTTTTTAACCCTGTCTTCCAAGAAGAGAGAATCATACTTTTTAAACCTATGGTAAAATATATATAACATACAATTTATTATTGTTTTAATCATTTTAAAGTGTGCAATTCAGTGCATTAAGTACATTCACAATGTTGTACAACCATCACCACCATCTAGTTCCAGAACCTTTCCATTATCCCAAAAGGAAACCTCAAATCTGGTAAGCAGTCACTCCCCAGTCCTCCATCACTGTAGCCCCTGGCAACCATCAGTCTGCTTTCTGTCTCTATGGATTTCCTTAGTCTGAGTATTTCATGAATTGCATCATCGGGAAACTCATAATGCATTTTTGCATAGAAAAATACATCATGACTTTTTTGATGACTCAATAAATAGAATTATGTAATATGTCACTTTTTGTGTCTGGAGAATGGTGATAGCCAAAGAATGTGAGATTTCTTTTTTTTGGAGAGGTTTTTGCTATAGGGCACATGAGCTCACCAGAAAGACACAGAGAGACAGACAGAAAGCAAGAAATCACCTTCCGGGGTGATGGCCACACCACAATCCCTTCTCCATTCTCCTCTCGGGATCTTGGGCACCCATGCACATGTGCCCAGCATGAATTTAAGCCACCAGGTCCAGGACTCAAACTATGGTCAACTACATGAGAGTCCAGTGACATAGCCATTACGCCAACTGCTGGTCCCAATGAGGTTTCTTTTTAAGGTGATGGAAATGTTCTGGAATTCGATAGTGGTGGTAATTGCATAACCTTGGGAATATGCTAAAATATGCTAAAACCCACTGTGGGCGAGCAGATGGTGTGGAGGTTAAGGTACCTAGATCCCACATGGCCCACTGCTGGCATGCAGTTCAAGTCGCAGACCCAGCAATTTGAAAAACAACTGGGCATGTGTGCATGCATGCCCAAAATCTTGAGAGGACGATGGAAAAGGAATTGCGGTGGAGCCATCCCCTAGAAGTACGGGGAGATGTCTCTCTCCATCTCTCTCTGCCTCTCTCTAGTGAGTACACATGCTCTATAGCAAACTAAAAAACAAACAAACAAACAACAACAAAAAACACTGACTTGACACTTTCCAATTATTAAAATGGTGAATTTTGCCTCTGAAGTTATTTTTTTTAAATAACCAAATGGTGCTTAAAATGTGCACCGTGAGGATTTGCCTTAGTCAGGGTTTTCTTACTTAGATGCTTTCTGCTACGAGTAACAGAATATTCCCAACCACAGGAGACTTAGAATATAAAGGCCATTTATTGTCCCATGAAAGAAGTCCCCAGATTGGTGGTTCCTGGGCTACCTAAGTCAGCAGCTCAAGAACTTCAGGGTTCTGGGTCAGCATCTCTTCAAGTCTCTTGGCTTCCTTCACATGGTAAAAGATGATTATCACATTCTTAGCTCCATTCTTAGCTCTGTTTATCTCAAGAAGGAAAATCTTTCAAGAAGCCTTGAACAGACTTCCCCTCAGATCCCCCTGATCAGAACCAGATCACATGCCCCTCCTAAACCAATCACCGATAAAGAGACATGTGCTTGTTTCCCATGATTGACTTAGAACAATAACGGTTCATGTGCTGGGGTCCTCATTCCCTGACCATATTGCTGTTCTATACCTAGAAAAAAAAGTTAGGGTTCCATGAGCAAGGGAGAGGTAGGAAATGGTTGCTGGGAAGGCAGTCAGCAATGTGTGTCATAGCATCCTGAAGGCAGTGCTGACTGAGCCCCTGTCTAGGGGGTGAGCAGGTGACACAACCCAGGCAAAGGCTCTGTGGCGGAAAAAGCTGCAGGGCCTGAAAGAAGGTCTGTGGAGATGAAGAAGAGAGAGCATGGAGGATGTGGTCTGCAGTCAGGCTGGAGAGCTGATAAGAGACCATGTAGGGCTCTAGACCATAGTGAGGTGTTTTGTTTTGTTTTGTTTTGTTTTGTTTTGTTTTTCCTTTATTCAGTGCCCAACAAGAAGCTGATGTAATGTTTCTTTTTGTTCTCTTTCTTTTTTTTCTTCAGTTTTGCCAAAGGGCACATATACCCACCAGAGAGACAGAGAAGAAAAATGAGAAATCACCCCCATGGAGAATGGTCACTCCACTATCCCTTCTTCACTTCTCCCTCCCTTTGGGGTTTTGGGCATGCACACCCATGTGCCTGACATGTTTTTCAAGCTGCCAATCTAGGACTTAAACCACACAGCCAGCCATGTAGGATCCATCTGCCTTAACCACCAAGTCATGGGCTGGCTCTGCTGTGGTGAGTCAAGAAATGAGGTAGTCTAGGGGCCAGCAGGTGTTGTGGTGGTTAAGGGCGCTGGACTCTCACATGGCTGACCTCAGTTTGAGGCAGACCTGGCGGCTTGCTTATTCACTTTCCCTCTCTCTCTCACTCTGTCCTTCTCTGGTCAAATTAAAAATTAAAAATAATAAAAATAAAATGAATAAATAAATAAAGTTAAATAAAATAATTATTTAAAGGGACCAACAGATGGCATAATGGCTATGTCGCTGGACTCCCATGTAGTCAACCGCAGTTCAAATCCCAGACATGGTGGCTTAAACTCACACTGGGCGCGTGTGCCTGCGTGCCCAAGATCCCAAGAGGAGAATGGAGGAGAAGGGATTGTGGCATTGCAAACCCCTTGGGGGGTGACTTCTCGCTTTCTGTCTCTCTCTCTCTCTCTCTGTCTTTCTGGTGAGTGCTCATGCTCTATAGCAAAAACCTCTCAAAAATAATTTTTTTTTTTAAAGAAATTAAGTGGGACCAGCAGTTAACATAATGGCTATATCCCAGGACTCCCATGTAGCCATACGCGGTTCAAGTCCCGGACTCAGTGGCTTAAAAACTCACGCCAGGCGCATGTGCATGTGTACCCAAGATCCTGAGAGGAGAATGGAGGAGAAGGGATTGCAGTGTGGCCATCCCCCCTGGGGGGTGATTTCTCGCTTTCTGTCTCTATGTCTCTCTCTGTCTTCCTGGCAAGTGCACGTGCCCTAAGAAATTAAGTTATCAAATGAGTGAAAAGACCTCTCTGGTTGCAGCATAGGCAATGGATTAGAGGGCAGCAAGTGCTCACTACCATTGGGTTGTCAGGAAAGTCATGACACATTTTTGCATAGAAAAACATGACATGGGGCTAGGCAGGTTGTACAATGGTTAAGGTGCTGGACGCTCACATGATCAACTGATTTGAGTCTCAGACCTGGCAGCTTGCTTTCTCACTTTCCCTTTCTCTCTCTCTCTGTCTCTTTCTCATCAAATCAAATAATAATAATAATAACAACAAATAAAAAAATAAATAATTCTTTAAAAGAAAAAAAAAAGAAAATCACATCATGACTTTCCTGACAACCTAATAATTTGGAGGCTCCTGCAGTATTCTAGGAGAAATAATGGTATTAATGGCTTGAATTTGGGACCATCAGGTGGCATAATGGTTACATTGCTTTACTCCCACATAGTTGACCATGGTTCAAGTCCTGGACCTGGCAGCTTAAACTCCCACCGGACGTGTGTGTGCACATGCCCAAAATCCCAAGAGGAGAATGGAGGACAAGGGATTGAGCCGTGGCCATCCCTGCTGGGGGGTGTTTTCTCGCTTTTTGTCTCCCTGTCTCTCTCTGGTGAGCGTACAAGCCCTATAGCAAAAATCTCCCTTAAAAAATAGCTTGGTTTAGGGCTGTGAGTGGAGAAGCAAGAGATAAGAATAAAAGCAGTGAGTGACTGATAGACAGGTGAGCTAAAGGAGGTGTCCAGCTTGGCTCCTAGATTTATGGCCTGCGTAATTGCATGATTAGCAGTGCTAAAGCGGGAAGTTAGACTATTAGTTCATTGGGAAAGTTATGATGTATTTTTCTATGTTTTTCTATGCAAAAATGCATCATGACTCCCAAAGACCCAGTAGATCCCTGAATATTAAGAATGATAGCAAATGCTTCTGTATACTGTCTCCTTTAATTCTCTTAACAACCTGAAGAGGCAAGTACTGTTATTACCCCCATTTTGCAAGGTTTTATTTTTTTGAGAGGTTTTTGCCATAGGGCGCATGCGCTCTCCAGAAAGACAGAGAGAGATAGAGATACAGAAAGAGAGAAATCACCCCCCAAGGGGGGGGGGATGGCTGCAATCCCTTCTCCATTCTTCTCTTGGGATCTTGGGCATGCACGCACACGCACCTGGCGTGAGTTTAAGCCACCGGGTAGGGTACTCAAACCGCGGTA